CCTATTAGGGCATGTTTTTTGTCACACAAAAATTTAATTAAGAAATGCCGAACATTTTAGCATTTGAATAAATGTATTTCTTATAAAATATAATTCCACTTTTTATTTTTTAAATACCCAATATTTGTAGGGAATGTTTATGCTGCAACCAAGACAGATGGTTCAATTTACTCAAGTCAGTCATATTTTTGTAATTAATGTTCATTTGGAGGGCTAACAGACCCCCATAGTCTGCTACAACAGAAATTCCATGACCTTGGTTATCTTACTGCCATTGATCCCATCTTGCCAGGCCATTGACATATAAATCCATGGGTTAAAGGATGGGACAGGTAATACACATACTACACTCCACTTTCAAACATCAGTAGCAGACATGAAGGCTGTTATGCATGTCCTGCAACTGATGTGGGAGAGCTTGCAACCATTGTGGAAAACACTCCTAAATCTTCATTTGAAAAGTCAAACCATGATATAAAATTGAGTAATACTCTTTAAAACATTCCAATGTCTGTGCATTATGCAAACTAATATAAAAATTACTTTAATTGGCATTTAATAAAACATCAATGATGCATTCAGAATTTGCTAACAAATAATTGTTATCATGTTACTTGCAAAATGGAAGAAATCATGAAATAATTTTATTTACATATTTACTGATATTAACTGATAGAAAAAAAAATCAATAATTGATTAAAATGAATCAATAATTGATTGAAAAAAATCAATAATAACTTGAACACCAATTTGCAGTTGCAATACTGTATTCTAATTTGTTGATTACAGAAAATTTGTAAAGAACTTAGAAAACATTTCACACAAATATTGCAAGTATGTACTGTATTGTGTATTTGCAGGACATGCACTGAATTTTTACTGCCTCTTATTGGTTGGAATTGCATATACACAGGGGCCAATATAGATATTATATAAAATATTCAGAAAGAAGATTCTTGCAATGGCACATTATTATTATTATTATTATTATTATTATTATCATCATTATTTTTATTATTATTATTTTCATTGACAGTTTTAAATAATTATTCAGTAATATCAGTAGTAATACTAATAATACCAATGATAATATATTATCAGTGGCACTATTAGTAATATTACTAATATTATCAGTAGTAGTAGTAATACTACTATTACTATTAAGAGTTGTTAATAGAAGTAGCTAAAACTAATAGTACTACTATTACTACTACTACTAGTACAACAACTACTACTACTACTACTGAATAACTATTATAAGTAGTTGTACTAACTACCAATCATAATATTAATATTATTTGTTACTTATGATTTTTTTCTAACCATAAAATAAGACAAATTGAAGGAAAAAGTTTTGGTAAAATGGGCCATTTTGTTGAGTGAATTTTTCATAAAGCGAAAATGAGTATGTAAATAAAAAATATTTTTTGAAATTTTGTTAATAGTTACTGAATTAAATCAATGATTGAGGAGCAGATTCAGATTTTTAGCTGTGAATTCCACTTTATGGCAAATCAATTTTGTGGCACTGAATATTAATAGAATATTTTAATGATCCAGGAATCTGTCTGGGGAAAGACATTACCATGCCACAATAAAAAAAATGTAAAGAAATTAATACATAGCAAGATTAAGAATAGAAAAAGTAAAATTCTTTGTTATTCCAGGCTTTATCTTCACAGCTGAACATCTCCTTTGTGTTGTTGATGCTGTTACCACAATATTTAAGCTGAGCTGATCTACAGCCTTCTTCAGGTCATAATTTGTAAAGAGAGATGATTGAAAAATGGTTGTCATCTTGTTGGTAACATAATCATTAATACAAAGAAACATTTCAGCTGTCAGAACAAAGTTTTAAATGAAAATGATTCTTATCAAAGTTATAGAAAATAAAATTCTTTCCATTTTGATTTTTTTTTGTTTATAAAAAAATGGACAATATTTTGCAACAACTAATAAAAAGTAAATTTTTTAATTTCCCATATTTTAGGCACTAAACCATGCAATTTTCAAGAGATTAGGGAGTGGTTGGGAAGTAATGGGTGGATATATAAACTCAAGATATACATATTTCTCTTGAGAGTAATGTCTCCAGGACGTTTTATGATAAAACAACTTATGTCCCAAGAAAAACCTGAATCTGCCTCTGTGAAAATAAACATTATCAATAACATATGAGAGGAGGCATTACAAATAACACTAATAATAATAATAATAACAGTGGCAATAATAATAATAATAATAATAATAATAATCATCTCATAAAAATAATGAGAATTTTATATCCAAATATGATAATGGAAATATAATCAACACTAATATTGATCATACTCAGATTTATAATAATAATAATAATAATAATAATACAATAAAACAAACAAACAAGGACATATTGGCTTCTAACAAAAATTGTATAACAAACTTTATTTAAAAGTCATTTTTATGATTAGAATAAAACTGAAAATCAAATTAAAATAAGGAGTTAATGATGATTAGAAAAGTAATTAATTCAATAAAGACATTTGAAACCAAGTGATTGTTTAATTTTCATTTGTATATAACCAAATACTGGCTATTACTATAAGTACCATTATTTTGTTTTTCTTTTTAAGATAAGGATATTTCTTTAATACTAGGACACCATTTTGTTAAGTGAAGCAAATAAAATTTTTGAACAAGTAATCAGCTTTTTATAAAATGATCAACTTTTACCAAAGGGATATTGTCTACTTATTAAATTATTTAAAAAAAATTGTTTTAAAAATTGATATTTAAAAATGATTGTTTTTACTTTTGATAGGTTTAGTAAAAAATAAAATGAATTAAAAATAAAGAATATTTGTTGCTAACAATTTTTATTAAATAATTTTATTTTTCAGTTTGCCAAAAGGAAAAAAATTATAATTTCAATAAAAATTAAATTGAGACATGTAAATAAGTATCCCAATTCATATGCAATATAATAGATTAAATATTCATATCATTCTTCATGAATATATATGTATATATATATATATATATATACTATCAATGTATACTCATGTATGTATATATATATATATATATATATATATATATATATATATACACAAATACATACTTATATATGCATGTATATATATATATATATATATATATATATATGTCAATGTATACTGATATATATATAATATTTTATATATATATATATATATATATATATATATATACATATATATAAATACATACTTATATATGCATATATATATATATATATATATATATATGATGAAAATCAATGACAAAGTGGGAAAAATTTTTCATGTAACACATTTCAACATTTAGGACAAAACAGATCACATGAAAAAAATTTCTGCTTGTCATTAATTTTCCTAAAATTGTTCTGGTATATCAAAATTTATATATCTTTTTCCCATATATATATATATATATATATATATATATATATAAGTAAATATACACATAGATAAGTACATATATATATATATATATGTGTGTGTGTGCATGTGTGTTTTGTGTGTGTGAAAAGAAAATATTTAATTTCATATTTTCTTTTATATGTAAAGCAAAGGAATAAGTTCTAATCAAGAATTTAGGAAAATTGCTATACTTACAAATACATATATATTTCCATATATATATATGTTTGAATATTTTGTTGTTTGTAAGTATGTATACATTTCTGAGTATTCATTAGTCTGCATATCAATTTATCAATGCTCTTTCTCTTTGTAGATATAAATGTTTGTTTATATATATGGCTGGTTATACCTTTCCATATGTCTGTACATAAGTGTGTGGTTTTGACTTTAGAGGTAAGTAGATATTAAACTATATTAAAGTATTTAAGCATAGCTTCATGTATTTATGTATATTTATCTGTATGTTTATTGATATGATGATATACATATGTAATGTGTTGTATATGAAGTACGTTTATATGTAAATTTTTATATATTACTCTGTTAATATGCCTTGTATATTGAATGTTGAATGAGTGAATTCTATAAAACTTACCTCTCATTTCTATTTCAATATGACTTTTATTTCATATAACAAAATCCTGACCTTTAAATCAATTTTTTTGTCTCATTTGAATAGCAGGTTTAGTTTGCCAGAGATTCTTTATATTTTTAAATTGGTTCATTTTTGTTATTATAATGTATTTATTGTTGTTGTATGGTTTGTGCGATGGGGCAGGGGCGAAATTTATTGCCAATCAAAGAAAAAAAACAAGTAATCAACAACAACAATAACACATTTATGATCATTCAAGTTTTTATTATTATTTTAAATAAAAATAATAATAATAATAATGATAATAATAATATTGTTGTTGTATTACTTATTTTTAAATTTTTTTGATTTACAATTAACCTGGTGTTCTGAATCTCCATACTTCAATATTCTACTAGACAGTTTTCAATAAATGACGAAAACATCAACTTCAATCTTTTCGTTGGATGTACAAACAAATTGAAATTGTCACCAACTGACAACAAAATTAAAGACTTATTTTCACTAAAATCCACTTCACATATTTTATAGGTCAAGGAAGGGATAAATATTATTCATTTTTTTTTTATTGTTTTTTTTTCCCTCTTTCATTTTTAAAGTTAGTCATGAAATGGGAACAGTAATTTTTTTTCTTTTTTTTTAAATTTTTTCTTTGTTGAATTATTATGGTTCTTTTGGCATAGTAATGATGATAATAGTAAAACAATAATCACCATTATTATTTTTTAAATTATTTTTAATTTTTTTCTGCTTAGTTTAATATCAAGAACTACACACTGTAACTTTACATTTCAACTTTTAGTAGAGAATAACTACCTTTTTAGTTATATTTTTAAATATTGTTTGTTTTCTTATTTGATTTCGGGATAATTAGAAATTTTCAAGTTCAAATCGTTTCAAAGAGTTACCTCCCTTGTTATATTTTTCCTCTTACTGTTTTTTTAGGCTAACAATTTCTCTTCAGTTTGTTCTTTTTTCTTTCTTTACAGAAGAACCTCCAGTTCATTTTCCTCCTCTTCCTCCTCCTCCTTCTTCTTCTCTTCAGTCTTCTCTTCCTTCTCCACCTTCTCTTCCTCTGATTTTACTACAGGTTCCTGATCAGAGACAACTACACTTCCATCTTGTTCAGTTGTGGCGGTGGCTGTGGTTGCTTCATCAGTATCAGTCTCAAGCTTCTCTATAGTCTCACTAACTTCTTCACTACTCAAAGAGGCTTCCTGATTCTTTTTCTTCTGCTACAAGTTAAAAGATAGAAATAAAAAACAAAAGAAACATTTAAAAATTTGCAATGTAAAGAGTAAGGACTTTCTTTGCTTTAAATGAATCTGGTTTCTTGTTGTTTCAACTGTTTTAATTGCATGCATATTTTATTTGAAAACGAATTTTAGCAATTTTTCTTTACAAAACTTTTCTTGAGATTACTTTTATAATTAATATAAAATTATATATATTAAAAAATAAACATAGAGATTAAAAAAGCTGTAGAAAAAATTCATAATGGAGTTGCCATGTTAAAATAGAAATTCTTGAATGAACAATACTAAAGAGAAAAATATAAAATTAGAGACATCTTTGCCAATAACACACACAAAAAATAATTTTTGTATGGGAAACAAAAAAAAAAATGAGAGAAAGAAATTTTTAAATTACTTGATGGTATATTTGGATATACATCCTTTATTTTTTATTTTGATTGAAATTATAAAATTAGAGATTTTTCTTTTATTCACTTATTTGGCATATTTAATTTTGTTTATTATTGTCTGAATTCTCTACAATTATCAAAAGAAAAAACTGTCTTGATCGAAGATTTTAACAATGCTTTAAAAAAAATACAAAATGTTTATATTTGTTTAACTTCATTTAAATATGAAAATACTGAATGTATATAGTATAACACAAGTCAACAGATATTTAAGATTCCTATACAAAATTCATGAACTTATCTGTAGATAAAATTTTCTGAGCATTTCATATACATAGGTATATAAAGATATCTGGAAGCTTAATAATGAAAAATCTATTTATTTCACATAAGAAATATTTATTTTTCAATATAATTTCATACCTTAATTCAATGATGAATATTAATCATATGGATTAAAAAGTGAAAATCCAGTTATTGTCCTGTTACAGACTTATTGATGTACTTGTATATTAGCTTAGAATAGATTATGACCTTATGTAGATCCATCAATAAATCTGCAGACTACTATTGAAAAAAGCATTTATTTTACACAAGAAATATCTATTTTTCAATATATTCTTGTTTCTTGTTAATGCCCTTAATCTAACAGTTTTCTATTGATGACAGTGATAGAATATACTTGAAAAATTTCAGATTAAAATTCAGCTAATGATTATGTTAGGTTATGGATTTATTGATATACACTAAATTTTTTCTGTATACTATGATTATTACCTTTTAATCATTTTAATATTATTTAATATTATTTTGATAATTACTGAACTGATTCTATATATGTATTCACAACTTATATAGGATGATAACATAGTAAAAGTATTTCTAATACAAAGAAAGAAAATTAGGTAACTTATTAAGTCTTAAGACAAAACTTTATTAAAATAAGTTAACTTTAGAGAATTAGTTTTACAGAGAAACAAAATGAACTTTATATGAGATTCTTTGTCTGAATTTCTTGGATAAGGAATTATCCTTATTTACATTTGGATATTTCTCATCTTTGTTGTTGTTCACAACATTTTAGAAACATTGTGATAACATAACAATATAAATATGAGATGTCAGGCTATATGACATGACATGATATAAATATAAGATGTTGTCAGACTATATGACATGTCATGGTATAAATATGAGATTTTGTCAGATTATATGACATGGCATGATATAAATGTGAGATATTGTCAAACTATATTATATGGCATGATATAAATGTGAGATATTGTCAGACTATGTAACATGACATGATCTAAATGTGTGTTCATGTTAAACTATATATGATATAAATAGAAGAGTAGTAGTATTCATTGTGCTATCAGCAATAATATTCATGATGGGAGAAATACAAAAAAAAATAAAAACATTGTGTGTGCAATATAACTTCAACCTATTTATATAGAAAAATACATTTCATAGATGGCACTAACTTCTCCATAAGTGAACATACAGATTTCTATATTCTATATTCTAACAAAGCAAAAGATTCATTTTTGACTTTATTTGTTTTAGTATTTTGCTTTTACCATGACACTAAAGTTGTTATAATATATGATTCTTAAAGCAAGTAAGATGAAGTAGAAATAAAGAAGTAAACCTTGAAGCATCACACGCCATGCAGGGCAATGCACAACAAACTGTTCCCAGTTGTTTATATCAATCTGCATCATTTTCAGGTCCTTTTGGATGCAATCTTTATAGTAGTGTTTTTGACTACCTCACCATCGTTTCCACACTTCATTATACAGAGTAATTTTTAGCAATTGAGTCATCCAAACAATGAACAAGTCCATTATAGTCTTGCTGTTGCTTCTACACTTGGCATGATTATATTGCCTATATTGTTTAATTTTGATGTCCTTGATATGTAATTTACATCTTGGACTGTCCTTTTTGTTCACTACAATACATTCTATCTTCTTATGATTAATAGTCAGTCACTTTTTTCAATTACTTTTCAGTTTCCCCCCTTTCTCTCTCTAATTCATGTATATGAAAGTATCTATAAGATTGTAGATTTGGCTTTGTTCTCTTTCTGTATCAAAATTCACAAGTCTGATGTCCATATATATGATCTACTCTCAGTATGTTAATATCAGAGATGTAAGTTCAAATCTCATTAGAGGTTGCTTCTTTATTTTAATATCCATGTTGTTTGCTTTAACAATTGTAAATGGTAGATGGATATGAGTGTTATGACAAATAACAACAGTAAGAAGAATAGAAAGACTAAGCAAGAATTAATAGAAAAAATATTTCATTTAAGAATTCTAACAACTCCAAGTTTTGCTGATATAGCACTTAAATCTTCCTTTCTGGCATAGAATTTCAATTACCATGATGAATCAAAAAGTAATACAATTTGTTTTATTATATATGAATTAATGAACCCAATTATATATATCAAGATATAGCTATACATCACAGGTTCACATCTCCACTTCTCAACAAAGTCATCACCTCTTTCAATCACAGTGCTCCACCTATGAATGAAAGCAAGTATCCCAGTTTTATAAAACTCAGCTGACTGCTGATGTAGCCAATTACTTTTTCACTCATCCTCATATTCCTGTTATATACAAGTTCTTTAGACATTTTAGCTGCCAGTTGTTTTATAAACAGAGAAGGGTATAATAAAATGCTTTTAATATATACTAGATAGCATTTCTTTCTCATGGGTATATTAGCATTCAATTGATATTGTAACAAAAAAAAACTCATGATTAATTAAACCCTAATCTCTGCCTTCCACAATCACTTGACTTGCCAAATTGAGCACAGCCACTGTCACTTTGCTGACTTTAGTATGTGATTCATACCAGGAAATACCCTATGGCCTGAACTGAATTTAATGTCAATAAGGAACTTTTATTCTAAGTCAGGCACATAAGAAGTTTGACCAGTTTGACCAAAAAGGTATACTCCTAGCCAGTAGGTACAGATTTTCACTTCACATGATGTCAGTGGCTTCCCCCTACATGCAAGCGGATGTTCAACTCAGCTGTGCATGAATTTGACAACTGGTTGACAGGAAGATAGATAAGCACCCCACCCAAGAGGGAAAAGACAGAGAGTCTCTCACATCCTCATTAATAATCATCCTCTTATCCTTATTACTAATCATTATTAAAATATCACTGATATGACACAATGATTAACAAAGATGAGTGCAAACAGTTAAAGGGAAACTACTCTGTAATTAGCAGTTAATAAAACTAGAGTTATTTCCTTTGAACAGGCCATTTTAATCAATTTATACTTAATTGAAAATTACTAGGAAACTGACAGAAATTGCTTTATTTTTCAAGTTAGAACATTTTAAAGGTATTTTGTTTACTAAAATAATGCTACAGTGTATTATTTTTGCTGAGTTATATATAAAACAGACATCAAATCACTATTACACAAATACAATTTCCAGCAAGGCTGAGAGTGAATAAAACTCTGAAAGAAATAACACATAACACATTTGTATATGCAATAATGAATAAAAAAAAGATCATTATTTAATTTCAATACTTTCCTAAAGTTATGAAATATAAAACTCAGAAAAGAAGTAAATCAAAGTGTATCAATATAAAAAAGATAGGGTGAAATATTTTGCAGTAGGATAACAGAGATCAAAGGTCAGAAGATAAGCTGCTGATAACCATGCAATTTTCGCATATCTTTGGATGCATTAGGCATGCTGCTGAAGGTAAATATGTTTGGTCAATATTGATAAAAAAATGAAATAAATAAATGAAATAAATAAATAATAATAATAAAATTAAAGAATTAATAAAAAGGGAAAATGTTTGAAAGAATATAATCAAGGAAGACAATAATTGAGATTAAAATTTTCTTTAAACAAAACAAAAAGAAAATGAAAAAAATCAGTTTTACAAAAAAACAACACAACATTTTTATGAATAAATTTTAAAGACAAAACAGAAAAGATATTTTTTAAAAAAAAAAAGAAAAAAGAAAGTTTAATACACAACTGAATTTTAAAAATTAATATCTTAAGTTTATTAAATGATCTTTCTTGGATCTAGATTTGTTGAAATCAAACCAACAAAAACTTAAGAAATAAAATCATAATGAAATTTAAAAATAAGAAATATGATAACACATTTTGAAAGAGGAGTATAATTTTTATAATTTATGCTAGATGAAGACAGGTTAAACTTTTAGTATCTTTTACTGATCTTCCTTTAAATATTTCATTAATTTTAGTAAGTTTTTAAGAAACTTTTAATCTACTTTTATTAACGTTTAATAAGTTTATTTTTTTATGAATTTTTCTAGAAATAATATATGCTAGAATTGTTTAATGAATTTTTATAAACATTCTAATTATATTTTAATAAATATAAAAATTAATGATTCAAAACAAAATATTTAAGCTCAACATGGTTGAACTACTAGAATTATAACGATAAAAATTGGATAGTGTTGAGATTTCTGTATTATACATGAAATCATCTTTAATATTTTTGTTACTTTGTAATAATTTATATAGTATAATAATTTTTTAATACATATGAAGCT